GTGGCCAAGGATGCCTCCAGGGTTACTTGACTGGCAATTTAAATATATTCACAGGGTCTTCTGCTGACAAATTAATAATAAATATTGATGGACATGTACACTTTTGTTATGTGGATAAGAGTTTTTAAAGAGACCTGAATAAGAACTGACACATTTTTTGTACACTTGGTTTTTGTTGAAGTTCTGAATCAGTTAATCACCAACTTATGAAGAGCCATTCTTTTTTAAAAAATATATTTTTATTGATTTCAGAGAGGAGGAGAGAAGGAGATAGAGATAGAAACATCAATGATGAGAGAGAATCATTGATTGACTGCGTCCTGCACAACCCACACCGGGGATCAAACCTGCAATCCAAGCATGTGCCCCGACCGGGAATCGAACCATGACCCCGGTTCATGTTCTAAATATATATATAAATACAATAGATTTATTTACCTCAGCAATTTTAATATATTTTTGTTGATATCAGAGAGGAAGGGAGAAGGAGATAGAGCTAGAAACATGAATGATGAGAGAGAATCATTGATTGACTACCTCCTGCACAGCCCACACCGGGGATCAGGCCTGCAACCCAAGCATGTGCCCCGACCGGGAATCGAACCATGACCTCCTGGTTCATGGGTGAATGCTCAACCACTGAGCCACATTGAGCAGGCTCCTTGATATTTTTTATATTATTGTATATGGTGTTCTTAAATTTTATTTTCCAATTACAGCAACTTGTTTATAAATAAAATATGAATTTTTATATTGACCTTTTTATCTAGTGACTTAGCTAAGTTCACTTACTAATCTGACTAGTTTATCTGTAGAGTCTTAGATTTTCTATGTATACAATCAGTTTACCTGTGAATGACAGTTTTAAAGTGAAAATGTGTGCTTGGGGAAAGTCTTCTTTGATTGGCGACATGCCACCTTCAGAGCTTTTTGTTTTCTCTAGTATTTCCAACTTGGGGATGTTTGGCATCGATGAGTTTACTGCAGTGATCAACCCTCCTCAGGCCTGCATCTTGGCTGTGGGGAGATTCCGGTCTGTGCTGAAGCTCACTCAGGATGAAGAGGGGAATGACAAACTGCAGCAGCAGCAGTTCATCCGGGTCACCATGTCAAGTGACGGCCGAGTAGTCGATGACGAGCTAGCCACCAGGTTTCTTGAAAGTTTTAAAGCAAACCTGGAGAACCCTATCCGACTTGCCTAGTTCTCCAAGATAGAACTGTTACCCAGGAACATGTACTATACGGAAAAAATTAGGTATTCAAGTATGAGGTGGATGAAGTGTTTATTTATTTAAGGTAAAAGTTTCACAAGAGTTCAGTGTGGGCTTAATATTGTAGAAATAAATAACAAACTGTAACTAATAAAAGAAAGAACATTTAGCTAGATCCATTTTTAACCTTGGTGCTGTACAAAGGGGGTGTTAAACTAACTGTAAATTACACTTGGCTCTTTAGAGCGTACTCAAGAAATTGTTACAATTATGTTTAGTTGTATTGACATTGGATGTGTTCAAAGAAACACCCATTAAGTTAGCAGTGGAACCTCACTTTGACAAGCACTGCTCTAGATATACTTGAACAATTAATATGTACAGACGTTCATTCTGGACAGTAGTAAGTAAATACAGATCACATTGTATTAGGGGTTGTGGCAACATTATTGAATTTTTATGTATATAAAGCCATATGTTTTAGAGTGCTTTCTACCAGTCTTGTTTTTTACTCCTGTGACACTGTGAACTTAAAAGGAACATTTAAAAAATCAAAAATAAAGAAAGAAAGACTCCAAAAAATCTGTTTGTTTCAATGGTAAACTATAGTTTAGATATCTAAACCTCAGAAATAATAACTGCTCACGTTCATACTAAATCGGAATACGTATATTAAAATAAATTATGCTGTTTTCTAACCAAACATTTTAAATTAGTGTTGATTTGAACACAAAATGTTTCTTAGTGCATTTTGATCAGTTTTGTATTGTGCAATAGGATGTGAGAAAATGTAAAAATGTCCATTGTATTCTACATGTTGGACATATAAGTTTAGTGAAACCTTGAAGTGCACTAGTAATTTCCCTGGAACAGCTCAGAGGGACGCTACAGGAAGAAAGGAAGCATTTAAAACTAATGCATAAGGAAAACAATGGATTTGGAATGCGAAGAGGGTAGAGAAGAAGACTTATGAAGTGAGAACTATCCTTGTTACTCCATTGATGATATGAAATTTACTAATTATAAGGGTTGGAAGAGTTTATTTCTTTTAACAACTCTACTATAACTGGCAGGGTAGTCCCACCAAAATGGGATGGTAATTTGATTGTCCAATCACAGGGGCTCCTGGTGGTGTCTGCTGCCGTGAACCCCTGAAAAAAGACTGTGAGTGCGGTTGTGGGGTGTGACATGCTGAGCTCCTCACGCTCTAAGAAAAGAGCCTCCAAAACAATTAGAGCCCCAGTCCTGTGTTAAGAAAATGCTTAATCCAATTACTCCGTTTGAAAGTTGTGGCCAAGTGCTACTTTTAAAGAAACTTTTATATTTTAAATTCTTTTTAGTCAGTTTTAACTGAAATTGTTTTGGTTTTTTCCTAATTTGCATATCTAAGGAATAGAGCACTGGACCACCAAATGCCCCTTGGCCTCATGCTCCATGGGCTGAGGTGCATAATCCCCAATTCATCTGTTCCCTGTGGGGGACATGGATGTTGATCCTCAGCCCAGCCTGCCTTACGGGGTTGTGAACTGTACAGGAGAAATCCTATGTAACTTAAGACATTTCCGTTCACGAACATCACAACCAAGCTTTTCATGTAATCAGTTGCTTCTCATGGTTTGACTGACTTCTCAGCTATTGATACAAATGCTCATTTATGCTGACTAATATTTCTGTACTGCTTAGTTTTATGTAAGGAAATTGTCGTTTCTGCAGAAAAAAGATTCCCATTTCAGTGTGAAGTCAAAGAATCATGCTGATTTGAGAAAGGCCTGTGGTTTGGATCATGTAGAGAGTGTGCTGCCCGAGCAGCCTCGTCCACATTTTATATAGATTTTGGTGCTGATAGGCATCATTGTGGGAGGATAGAAAAGTGAGATTTTGTCCCTCGTCATCCTTTTTCTCATTTAAACAGGGAACATGACTAAAGTATTGAGAAGACTTCTAAGGAAAACCACACCTTCCAGTTTCCACTTGGGCAGGGAATATCAGTGAATATTAGATTCATGTCAACGCAGCCCTCATCTCCCTGACTGCAACTCCAGTTAACTTTCAGGGGCACAGTCTGTGCACTGACTGTTCTGTGTCAGATTGAAGTTGTTAGTATGTTGCTGGCCAGACTCCTGGGTTTGGACATTACTAGGAAGTGTATGTGTACTGGTATAAGCATTTTTTATATATTGCCATATGGAACTTGTTTTTAGATATTTTTTTTCTTCTTTGCATTTTGAGCCTAACATTCTACTTTGTATAGGCCAGCCATTTGGGCATTACACTAAAAAGTAAACCTAGTTTCCTAGCCTTTTATTGAAAGGTAGGTGGTGCTGTAAGTTAATATATTATACTTGGAATATGGGAGAAAAATTAAAATGGCATTTAAGTCTTAGTGTTCACAACCCGGCTAGCATGGCTCAGTGGTTGAGCATTGACCTATGAACCAGGAGGTCACCGTTGGATTCCCGGTCAGGGCACATGCCCGGGTTGCAGGCTTGATCCCCAGAGTGGGGCGTGCAGGAGTCGGTGGTTATAGATTCTCTGATCTTTGATGTTTCTCTCTTTCCCCTTCCTTTCTAAAAATTGATAAAAATATTTTTATAAATAAAAACCTGGGTTTTCATGGAAAATTTGTCCTCATTGCACATTGTGTTGGATGAACTTTGCCTCCGGTGAAGTGACTAAATGAAAGAACCAAATGCGGGGCAGGTAAGAACGAACCGTTAATTTAAATGTGACATTATCAGTGGGGAGCATTTGTTGGTCTTTGCAGAAAGAAGTACCAATACAGAATCTCTTTAAGCTTAGTCTGGTCAAAACGGAGAGGGCAGCAGTCAGGAACCAGCTGCAGGCTTTTGCTATATGAAAGCATGAGTTGTCATGACACTGCACTAGGTCAAGTGGCTTTAAAGATGAGGGAAGATGAAGAGTATTGGCTGTGTCAGTTTGCTGTGGTGGGTTATGAACGTAAAGGTGTGTGTGCTGTTGGGTAATGCAGCAGCAGGGATGCAGTTGCCCAAACCAAACAATACGCCACGGCCCCCATCACCATGCAAACGTTATATACAGCCAGTGGTATGTTTTAGAAGACATTTAAACTTTATAAATGGCAGAAGCAGTAGTCTTCCAATGAAATTTTTAAAAATGGTTTTGTGGATTTATTTTGTACTGTCTCCATTGATTACAGGAGATGAGCACAAGCAGGGTTGGAGGTAAGATATGGTCTAGATTTGTAAAATTGAAAACATTTAATTGAACTTATAAGGAATAAAGAAGTTTTTTGAGAACTTATTAGCCTCAAATAGTGGCTATCTTTTGTTTATCATATAATGTTTACTTTTACATTTACTTACATCTACTGCAACAAATCTTAGCAGCCTTTTTCTTTTTTAAAAAAAAATAATTTTTATTTCTTGAAGTATTACAAAGATTAATCCCCCCAAGTCTTCCCCCCATGCTTCCCACTGTAGTTTGACAGTCTGTTCAATGTTGCTCTGCCTCTGCATCTACCCCTGTTCATCAGTCTATACTGGTCCCCATTATCTGTCCCAACCTCACTGGAGCTGTCCCAACCTCACTGGGGCTGTTTCGTCCTTACTAGGGCCGTCCAGACCTCACCGGGACCATCCCGACCTCACTGGGGTCATCCCTACCTCACTGGGGCCGTTTCAACCACACCGGAGCCGTCTCAACCTCCCTGGGGCTATTCAGACTTCACCGGGGCTGTCCCAGCCTCACCAGGGCTGTCCCAGCCTCACCAGGGCTCTCCCAACCTCACTGGGGCCGTTTCAACCTCACTGGGGCCATTCCGACTTCACCGGGGCTGTTTCGGCCCTAGCAGCCTTTTTCTTTCTAGAAAAGTGACTATTCTTTTAAAATTCTAATTTAACCTCTACTATCTGTGATAGGTACAGTTAAGGGACACTTGGACTTTTATTAAAAGTTGAGAACTTATAGCCCTGGCCAGGTGGCTTCGTTGGTTGAAGCATCATTCCATACACCAAAAGTTGAGAACTTATTAGCAAATTCAATAATTGTTATGATTTCCCTTTTTTCATACCTTAAAAAATTTTAATTCTCACCCAAGGATAAGTCTTAATTGCTTTGAGAGAGGGAGAAACATCAGTGTGAGAAAGAAACATCAATTGGTTGCCTTTTGTACGTGCCCCAACCAGGGATCAAACCTGCAACCTAGGTATGTGTTCTGACCAGGAATCAAACCTGTACCCTTTTGGGGCACAGGATAACACTCCAACCAACTGAGCCACCCAGCCACAGCTAAAATAATGTGTTTTTTTCCTGATATTTTTTAGTTTATGAAATTTTTTATTACTCCTATCACTAAAAAGTAGGTCTTAAAATATACAGCTGTTGTGATCAAATTAAATGACATTAGGCATAGCAGTTGATCAAGCATAAAGTATTACATAGATCTAAGATGTTACTTTTTATTGCATAAATTGCACTTATTCTGCACTTTTTCATCAGTAGGCTCACCAGCAATCTGGTAGGGAATGGCATTTATCAGGAAGTTAGTTATAGAATGGTACTTAGTAAATTACCATCCTTCTCAATAAGAGCTACTGGCATTTAGTGCATACTTTGTCTCCCTAGCTTGCATACTTAAATCAAGAGTCTTTTAAGCACTCTCAGTAAACAACTTATTTCTGTGCA